CACTGGAGAGCAAGCATGTACAGGGAGTGCTGCACAGTGATGTTGATAAAAAGCCAAAGCCATAATAAAATGGAGCTTCAGCTCTTCAGCTGCTGATTCCCACTAAAGTCTGCAACACTTTGTCACCACATGCATGTTAAATACAACGTGACGTCATTAGAGACGGTCGCTAGTTTGCAACTGTTTCATTTTTGTTTATTAGATAAATAATGCACATGGAAAACACAGATGGTGGGTGTATAGTTCTTTGTATAAACCGGAAAGAGAGGCAGGCCTTTGTTGTTGTTGTTGTTGTTGTTGTTGTTGTTTTGTATTAGCCATTCTCAATTATTTCAGCCACACATAAATTCTCAGCTTCTTCCTGATGCTGTAACTCAGCCTGTGGGAGGCTTTATTTGTCATAACAGCTCAAGTCTGTCTGGTTTGCTACTCGCCGTCCACAAATTGTAGTTTGTGAAGCTGTATGTCACCTTACAGGATGTCTCTTATCCCAAATTTAAAAAAGCTTCACTTAATCTTTAGTGGTGTCTATTGTTGCATACAGTCTCATTGCATGTGCTCAGGTTTTGAGATACTGGCTTCTGCTGCTGCCTCACTAGATTTGAAGTTGTGGTGCTTAAAGCCCTGAAAAACAGACTCAAAAGCTTCTCCAGAAACTCCAGATAATTGACAGTGAAGAGGTTGTATTTGACCGACTTTCTGCCGTGTCGTAGACGAGTAGTATACAAAATGTATAAATATTTCCATATGTGCTCACAGGCCTGAAAGCCTGTCTGAACACGTGCCTCTCGTCTTTGCCCTGACCATCGATTGGATCCATCAAATTACAGGGTGCTGGGAAGATGATATTGATCCTTGAACTGTGCTATCTCTCACCACTCTGCAATCACACACACACCAACGCACACTTAACTGGAGGTCTTATTGGCTTCCCCTCTGTGTGAGTTGGGGCTTCTGAGATACACAGACCACCCAGGACCACCTGCATGACAACAGACAGGTAGCTGGTGGAAAAATCACTCCGTTGATGTACTGCACATAAGATAAAATCTGACACAGAATATATTTAGACGCAGAGCAGCTGTCTCCATCACATCCAGAGTAAATGGAGACCCTGAAGTTAAAGGTTCTGGCTTATTGCCTCGTGCTAATTGGGCACGATGACCCGAAAAAACTCCAGTCCAGTCCAGACTCGAGTCTCTACCCTTTAAACGACTTTGTAGTTACAGTCGTGTAAAAGGTTTTAGCAGCAGCAGAGAGCTTGTGGCATTTGCACAGGAAAAATAAATCAGGAACACTCTTACTTGAACAACTTGTTGTCCTTGGGCAAGGTTCTTGAGCCCACGTCTGCAGTGGAGCTGCATTGTGGTCAACGGTAGCATACTGAGAGTCGGCCTCGGTTATTTTTGGCAGCTGGCAGTTGCTGAGCAAAATGTCCCTCATTAAACAATAAGTCTGCAGCCGTGCTAGCAGCTCTGAGACACTGCACTCCTTCCTTTCTTCAAGTCACATCTGAGGTGCTATAATTTCTTTTTTAAGTAGTATTAACTTCAGCATCCAGGATGTAATTATGACGGGAAAGCTGACATTTTTGTGGAAACCTGTGATATTCCCAAATGGCATTTAAAAGCACCTGAACTGACAGGAAAAAAGAAAATGTGAGTAACTCTTCAGTCAGTGTCGAGATTGAATTCGGTATGTTCGAATTTGTTAGACACAGTGGTGTATTTGGCTAATCGGAAGCCACTCGGTTTAATTAAACCATACCCGTTAAATGCAGATTACCCATTAATTTGCTTGCTTGTAGTAAGAAGTGAAGTCGCTTCCCAAATATGCGCCTGGAAATATTTCAAGATGGCTACAGAACTACAAGATGTTCTTTCAGAAAATGTCAGAGAGTTTGTGCTCTGGGGTTCATGAATAACTGCCAGGTTTAGTGATCCAGTGGTGACGTTTGTGTCAGCCTGAACTAAAATAATCAGTTTATGCTATAGTGTTGGTAATTACAGTCAAGAGTAGACATGTGCTAAAGAGCAACAGGCTCCGCATAAACCAGTTTGTCTCATATAATTCAAGCATGCTCTGCAGAAATCGTATAATTTATTGAACTTTTGCTTGTGGGAACCATCTGATCACTCTGCCATAAGATGATGCACACTGGCATCAGCTGGTAAGTAGAACACACGCATGCATACACCACTGAACGAACACACACACACACACACACACAGTTCTTTACATCCCTAGTTGACTCGGCTTTTTCACTCCTCTGCTCCTTCCCAACTGTCCTCTCTCTCTTTCTCCCTCTCTCTCTCTCTGTCTTTGGGTGGTCACTGGTCCTTCCCTGCATCCTGCCACAGTTGAACAGATTGTGTCTGTATTCCAAGCTGCTTCCAAACAAAAGGCATGGGACCATTTCTCCAAAGCTCAGCGCAAGAATCTGGACATGTGGCGCAAACAAGCAGAGGTTGGTACATTTTGATTTAACTGTGTCAATCACATCATTTATGGAAAAATTAGTCATTATCCCACTTTGTTTTACGCCTTCTCAATGTAAAGCTCTTTAAAATGTTGCTTGATACCAAAGAGGTGATGGTAATAATAAAGAAATAATAGGAGAGGGCAGAGCCCGTGTAATAGTAAGTAGCAGGTGCCTCTCAATCGAGCGAGATCCAGGCACAGACTGAGGCCCCGACCTCTGCCCTTTCCTCCTCCACTCCTTCCTCCAGCCTTGCCTCCCCCATGAAGAGATACAAGGTGCTTGGTGAGTCTGTTTCTTTCACCCCTAAGTGTTCAAGAAGAAAGGTAAATCTGCCTTCCCTGCCCTCTTCACCAATAAATTAGAAGATGTTGATTTTTGGGGGCTTTTTTCTTTCTCTGAAGTAAATGATTGAGGAACATATATTGAGAGCTAAAAGCATATTCGTTTTCAAGTCTAACAGCACTTTTGTCATCTGCTGTCTGCTCGCTGTTTTCTCTCTCTGCCAAATGGAACATTAATTGACATGATGATGGGTTGTATGTAATGGAGGGTCCGGCATGTGTTGCAGTCCTGCGTCTAATGGACCGTATATGAGCATATCTGATTGGTAAGTTTCTTTGAACCATAGTATGAAAAACAACAGTTTTAAGATGCAAGTTAAAGCCCAGTTAAGATGCTCATTAATAACGAAACACGTCGCAGCAGAAGCAGCAGTCAACTTGTGCAAAAAACGTCACATTGAAGGTAGGTGGTGGTGCAGAAATGTCGCTCCAATTATCAGATGTACTGCAGAATTATGAGCGTGGAAGTTGTGTTTATAATGGCTCGTGTTAAGGCCTCTGAGTAAGAGGAAGCAGAATGATGCATATTTAATTGCACATGCTGCCATCAGAAAAGACCCTTTTGTTTTATTGCCTCACTCAGTCCTTAAGCAACACGCTCACTGGCAAATCATACAAACATACTCTTAGTATTGAAAGTTTTCAAATCTCTTATGTTGTGAACAGTGTTTACATCAGGCCTCGGGTGTTTTTCCGTTCGTTTCCTTCCTTGCGTACATTAGTGTGTACAGTATGACCCTAAATGTAAACAAAAGAGACCACGGTGGGTGGACACGGCTGCTAAATATGTCCTGATACGAGGAAACATCCTTCGAAGAGTTTTCCCTTCAGGCTGTTTTACACTTACAATCTCTGAGAAGAGATTTAGACACTTCGTGACATTGTGTGCTTGTCTCAAAGTGAAGTAGTTTCAACTCTAGCTGTTGGGTTAGCATAACCCCGAGTCGAGTCTTTATCTCTGGCTGTTAGCGCTCAGCGCCTGGAGAAAAGTAATCGTAACTAGCGAGGTCACATGCAACTGGTAGGCATCTTCAAGTATAGATTAACCTATTAAATCACTCGGTGCCCTTACTCCCTGTACATTCAAACACTGTGAAGTGTTTTAGTATCTGTCAGCTCATTGCTTTGGATCAGCACTTGAGCTTAACCTGCAGCAGGCAGAAAAAGAAAATGTATTAAATAAATAGGGAACAATTACTCAGGTTAGGTATTGAAAAAAATCAACCTCTAAGGAGGCGATGCTCCTTTCTGCTTCACTGAAGGCTTACAATTCCAAAAAGTGCTCTTGCATTTTATGATTGCTTACAAGAAACACGTCCACGCCTATAGTGCTGGGTTGGTACAGTGCACTCAGCTGTTACCTTTAGTTATATATGGACGTGTAAAAGGCAACTACACATTGTGCGTGAAGGTCAGAGAACCAAAACAATGGGTTTAAAAAGTCAAACTGCATGTGGCTGTAGAGGTGGATGCTTCCACTTTAACATGGTGCCATTAAAGCTGATCATTTCTTTACATTACTATCAAATAATGGTTTTATTTCGTTCATACCTGTCTGTCTTAGAGGCTGCAGTGCTTGCAGCCACTGTCCCGTGTATAGAGAATAGGTAAGTAAGTGTTTGTTTGGGGACAGTTTAACATCAGAGAGCCAGTATCACTCTGTGGCTACAGGCGAATGATAGAGGAGCTGCAGCTCACAGGCAGAATCAGACAACAGCTGTCTCTCTGTCTTTATGTGGTGTGTGTATGCAGTGGATGTGTGCTTGTACACAGAGGGCTGTTTCTCCACATGTGCTTGTGTGTTTCGAGTACCTGTTTGACCTGTGCCACGGCTCAGGCTGATAACATCAGCTGACAGATGGTTTCAAATGTATTTACTCTCGGGCTGCTTTTTTGCTCCCTCGCTTAGAAATTGTTATTTCATTGATTTTGCACTTTTTATCTACTGATGGTGTTTGTAAACACAGCACTCCCCCATATGTGTCAGTAAATACTTGTTTTCATATTTCACTGTCTTTATTTCATTGATTGCCTCAGAGACGCCCTGTTGATAACGTGTCCTCGTCCGTGTAGTTGTGTGTAATACATGAAGAGAATATCATGCTTTGAAAAAAATCCTTTGAAAGACAGTAGAGGCTCATGGAGGCGTGTTGAGTGATGGCTTGTATGTTTTGCTTTTGTTCTAAAGCATAAATCATATATTTAATGATTTAACCCTTGTGTTGTGGGAATCCCGGGGACAACACAAATGAATGGAGGTCAAAGTTTAAATCACTTTTGAACGCTAAATGCTGTAAATGAGTGAAGTCGCAGGAGAGAGGAGTATCACGGTGAGATGATATTGATCGATGCCTTTGGCTTTAAATCGGCTGCCTCAAAGTTCAACCTTTAAGCTGCAACAAAGGTTGAGCTCTATAGATGATTGTGCAGCTGTTATATTAACAACTGCTTTTATTCTATTCATTAATATGTGTTGCATACGTGTGTAAATCAAGTCCTCACCGCTTTTGCAGCACAAGCTGAAATATTAGGCCTGTCAGAGCATGTAATCGTGTATCTAATGCATCATACATCTAAATTAGCTGTGCATCATAATTCTTTCGAGATGTATATTTTCCACTAAAATGCAAACATGTTATTAAAGGTCCAGACAGACCAAACAATGGAGATGTGGTAGGATAGTCTTAGTGTTAACAGTCGACCATATGTTTATTTGTTTGTTTTGACTTTCTCTCAGCACAAACCTGGAAGGTTTTGTCTCAATTACAGCCACTCCATTTCAGTGGTATGACCTTAATCTTTAAACCATTTTGAAACCTGCTTCTGGTTACTGGTCTCCAGATGGATGTAGTCATTAGCGATTCTGTCTGTGAGGGTGAAATGAAATGGAGAAGATTGGTATTTTACAGTTACTGCTGGTGTTTCCAGATGTGCCCTCAATTAGAATAAAACACGGGCATAAAAACCAGCAGCAGGCGCGATGTGCACCGAGACACTTATCATGGTTTGTTGTTGTGAATCAGTGTGTAGTGAAATTGAGGAGCTTTCATTTCATTGACAGATGGTAGAGTTGCATTTGTATGGCTGCTTTAATGCGTGCTGTTTTTCTCCAAGTACAAAACGGTGAGGTCTCGTTGTATATGTGCTACCGTATACCCCATTTCCGAGCCATAGAAGGAACTGAGCCCTAGCTCTGATGTCATCCTTTTATCTCTCTGCAGCTGCACTCCTTTGTTCTGTACCAATATGTTCAAAGTTTTCCTTTGCAGCTCAGTTTTGCTTTAGCGTCAACTTTGAAGGAGTTTACTGATCAGCACCTGCTAAAATGTGCATCACTCTGGAGTCTTTGCAGTTTTGACCCGTCGCTCTTTTCACTGTGTTTCGCAGGAGATTAGAAACATGCACAACGAGCAGCTGATGGGCATCAGACGAGAGGAGGAGATGGAGATGTCTGATGATGATATGGAGGATGCCCCTGACAGCAAGGACTCTGAGGACTCAGGTATGCATATGCATCCACAGTTCAGCACTTCTGTCATCTTGACAGGAAGTACACTGATCACGATTTCCAAAGGATCAGCACAGAGACTGTTAAATAACTGAGGGAGACAGCTCTGTTTGACTGAAACGACAGTAATCATCCCCCGAGCATCTGACATCCCCGCATGAATACAAACACATTCAGACTACAGCAAGTTGCTGACAATATGCACGCTAGCCTGAGTTAATGTTGAACATAAGTGCTGAATGTCATTCACCTCAGTCCACCCCAGTGAATGTACACATAGGAGCATGTACATGTGCCAGTCCGTCCACATCTGCCAGCTGCCATCTAATTTCAGATTGGGGTATCACTGAAGTGCCATAATCTTCTGTTGCTCCCTCAAAGGAGGCTCTTTGTGTTTGCTGAAGCAACAAAAGTTAATGATGCTGCTAATCCCTCAAACCCCATAACAATAACCCAATAATTCTATAGTAGTCATTGGTGCAACATGCAGGGAACCACATGTGAGGCCTCTTCATCCCATGTTCTGTTCCTCTTCATGTCTCAGATGTGTGGTTTCTTCTTGGCTTTTAATCAGCCTGATCTCTGCCTTTTGCTAATATGACAGTATCTCTAATTAGCATGCAAATGTATGTAAATGCACTCGTCACTTCAGCCCCTTCTCTTTTGCAACCTTGCTGTTTAGCTATCATTAATTAGCATTGCTGTCAAAGACCTGTCATTTCACTCAATGCTGCAGGATTGGCTGAGGTGGCAGGTGTTAATGTGACACTTTTTCGTATTTGTGTTAACAGGCTGAGTGTTGCACCACACACACCCCCCCCCCTCACACACACACACACACACACACACACACACACACACACACACACACTAACCTTTAAGCAAACGGGCATGTTTACACGTCAGCCGTCCCGGCTAAAAACACCTGTGTTATGACTGCAGCCTCTTAAAAAGGGAATCGATGCTCCGCATCTGACTCACGTACAGAATAGAAGGCAAAAGAGCCGCTTCTGTGCATGACTGTACACCCGAAGGTGTATGCCTACGTGCACACTCGCGGATATCTGCAGGTCGATAGCTTTGCCTGTTACGTAACAGAATCTGGCCGAGCAGTTGACATCTCCTCACACCAAGTTGATGAGGCTCTCAGATCAATACACTTCTCACCTCAAACCTTCATTTTGCTGGTAGGAAAGAGCTCACACAAACCCAGCACGGACACACACACACACACGCCCAGCAAGAGTTCATTAACACTGCCAACGGTCCTCCATGATAGACTGCAGGCAGCACTCGTGAACACCCACACAAAACCTAACAAGACATGCTTTCATGCACACACTCACTCACACAGGATGGGGCTTATCTCCCCAGTCCAGTCAGTGTGTTGCAGTTTCCCAAAGAGCTTCTGCTCGAGGCTTGCAGTAGGAGAGCAGAACTGATATCTTTGGAGCTAAGCAGATCTCATGGAATAATACCTCCTCCCAATCTGCTCTCTTTACTCAGTAGGTCAGGTCAAATGTCCAGTTGAGCTACTGGCTAGAACACTCTGGTATTATTACAGCTTTGAGTACATTAATATATACTATAGGTGTTTGATCCCTGGACGTGGTATATAGAAGTGACAGTGCTCCACCAACTTGACAGCATTGTACTGTTGGACTTTGGGCCCTTTTGTGTTCGACAGAATGCTTGAAAAGTAGCTAAATATCATTTAAATTTGGT